GGCGGTGCAATGGATTCAACGAAATGATAAACGGCGAAATTAATAAGACCCATCGCCTATTAGTCTTCATGGGTAGGAATGATAAAATCAAAGATCACATAACACTGGTGATGCAATATTATATCGTTAAATTTAATATTGGCTGTGGAGTTTCTTTTATTGCTTTACAACTAACGCGCATGCTAACACGAGTCGTGTGTTTTCTTTAAATATAGTATCGACTAAATGTTTATTCTCACGCAATTGTTCAAATTATATTAAGAGTCAGAATGTATTTTATTATTAATTAGTAGAAAGTATACATTTAAAGATGATTACGTAATTAATCTTTTTTCCTGATTTATTTTATAATCCATGATCATGTGTGCAAGAGTGTATGATGGTGATAGTGAGGTGCAGCGCAAAATTAAATAAATAATCTTTAAAAAATACCGCAATTTTGAACTAGCTTGTACTAAAGTAAGAAACCCCGGTTACCAAATGATTATATTTTTATATAAGTAGTTTTCCACTATACAACTCGCGATAAAATTTGTAATGATTCGTATGAATGCACTTTAGGTAAGGTAACAAGTAAGATGGTATTCGAAGTACAATACCGTAAAATACGGTCTATGATATTATTTCTATTTCTCTTAACTTCCATCATTGTAGCGTTATATCTATCTTCTATATACTTATAAGTATATAAAAATAAATTGCTTCGTTAGTCTCGCTAAAACTCGAGAACTGTTGGACCGATTTGGCTAATTTTGGTCTTGAATTATTTGTCGAAGTCCAGAAAAAGTTTAAAAGGTAGATAAATATGTAAATGCTTGGAATTAAATAAAAATAACAATTTAGTTTTTCCTATGATTTGTCCCCCGTCGGACGGATTCCTTTTGTTTGTTTTAAGTTTATTTTATCCAAAAGTTTAGGTTTTTATTTATCGATTGAGGCACCGTAGTCTGCCAGGTCAGCTACTCATCAATACTAATTTAATTTGTAATATTATTTATAAATAATGTTAAAATCCGTCCTGTTGTTTTTGGGTGATGCACGAAAAAACAAACAGACAGGCAGATAAAAATATAAGCAGTCGATGGTCTCTTAGATCAACATAATTACCATTTTTATATCCTTTTTGACATCACATTTCAATTACAATTTAAATCCTTCGCTAATGATCAGGCAAAAGAATTCTTCAAAGTTATACTGAGCATCAAATTGGTTTGATGATCTCCAGCTTTCGTCAGAAAATCATACTTGAAGAAGATGTTAGATTAATATTTAATCAGTAAAGTATACACACCAATATGTAAAATGACCTAGCCATTTATATTTATTTGGCACTAGCTGACCCGGCAGACTTCGTAGTGCCTCAATCGATAAAGAAAGGACCTAAACTTCTGTATAAAATAAACTTAAAACAAACAATAGGAATCCGTCCGACAGGGGGGGACACATCAAAGGGAAAAGAAAATTGTCATTTTTATTTAATTCCGAGCATTTTCATATTGATCTACCTTTTAAACCTTCCAAAATTAGCCAAATCGGTCCAGCCGTTCTCGAGTTTTAGCGAGACTAACGAACAGCAATTCATTTTTATATATAGATTGTAAAAAAATAAATAATTATTTATTTGTCCTCACAAGCGTCACATTTGTCAACACAAGCGCACTCACTTCAATTGCAGTGAATGCGCTTGTCTCCTAAATAATGTAAGTAATTAATTAGTAAATATAAATATCTGGAATATTTACAATATATATTTTATTGATATATTTAATAGTTTATATTCAACTTATTGCCTTCAACCCCTTTGGCAATGCAAATACATTTCGCGTCAATAGCACTCAGGCCACAAACGAATGAATCATATATGAATAACAAATAGCCCTATACCCAGATGATAATCTCTGTTCTGTGACAATGACAGCATAAATTTAAAAAAAAAGAAAGTAATCTAATAACTGTTTTCAAAGAATAATTTGATTATAATGCCTCCGGTTACACTCGTGTCTAAAATTTGTCTAATTGATGCAACAAGCAATAAACAGGTCATAATAAATAACTATTTAGTAATTAATTATGTGTCGAAACATCGATATGCAACAGTCGCTATTATTAGGTCACAAGTCGTATGTTTGAAATATGAACTACACAATAGAAAACAGTGATGTAGTGATTTAATGTGGGCATAACTAAAGCATAAATAAATTTTGATGAACACAAGCGAGTGTTAACCCGAGAAAAACACATCTGACTAGTATCTTAAAGAACTCCCGAGAGAACTAAATTCAAATTTATTTGACTATAGATGCGATTTCCGCGAAGTCATTACACTAATTTTAAATATAAACGGACCTAAAGTAGCTATTTTTACAACTTTTTACGATTTTGCGATATTGAAATTGAAGTTGTCGAAATTATCAGTTTGGTTCCATAAATTAAGATTTGGGCAACATTTCTGTGTATTTGCCTTAATTTTCTTGATGTTTACTTCGTTAATATTTTTGGATTATCTTCGGATTTGTAAGAAGATTTGTTGTCTGATTGAAATTGATTTTAACTTTTAAAGAGCGACATAATATTCGTGTAATAATAAAATGAACGTATTTTTGGCCGAGCTTGGTTTAGATATTAATATTTATACTTATCAATATGATCAAATTCACAGATTTAAATTTATATTTAAATAAGACTGTAAATGCCAAAGACAGAATACATTCAACCAATTTTCTTTTCCTATGCTTAATAATAGCTCTTAATTGACTCTGGGAATATATTTTTTTTATTTATTGCAAAAATCAGTTTTGTTTCTTTGAAAGAGTGACATAGTTAGTTAGAGTTAGATAGCATCTGTTTCTCAACCGATTATCTTTATTTGTCTAACAGCTCGCAACAACTTGTGGCTTTAGCAACAAAAAAAATACCATTTAGCTGCTACACTTTGTTTTTCTTCGTTTCTTAGCCGATATTTGTTTTGTTTAATACCTATTGCCGATTTTTTTTACCTTGAGGTGTCAGTGATTATGGTAGAATTTTGATCATTGTGCGAACACTACTTAATTTAGTTGTTTTGTCAAATTTACTTTAATTAAAAGCGGACTAACTATAAACAGCAGATGTCTATTTACAGAAAATAATCAATAACAAATCTACTAATAAATAAGAAAAGATTATCTATATTTATATAAAAATGAATTGCTGTTCGTTAGTCTCGCTAAAACTCGAGAACGGCTGGACCGATTTGGCTAATTTTGGTCTTGAATTATTTGTGGAAGTCCAGGGAAGGTTTAAAAGTAGATAAATATGAAAATGCTCGTAGTTAAATAAAAATAACAATTTTGTTTTCCCTTTGACGTGTCCCCCGTTGGACAGATTCCTTTTGTTTGTTTTAAGTTTATTTTTTTATACAAAAGTTTAGGTCTTTTATTTATCGATTGAGGCACTACGAAGTCTGCCGGGTCAGCTAGTTTTAAATAAAATTTTTAGCACTATGTTTGTTGATGGACACATTTAATCGTACCAATAAGTGTGTCTTAATTTAGCAAACATATGACAAAACAAATAAAAACGAACAGCGTTTCAAAGGAAAGAAAGTTTGCTTATATTCGCAATCTCAGTTTGAAGAAAGGTGAAAGCGTTATGTGAAGTAACTGCCAAATGGTGCGTGTTTTTACAGTAAATATTAAGTAATTTGACAACAAGTGCAATTACATATTCGCAAGTATTTGCGATGTTTGAGCTTAACCATCGACAAACGAAAAGAGACTTCATATTGCGGGAAGACTTCACAGAGATTATCTAACAATGTTTTTTTTTAGTTTAAGGAAAGCGTGCGTCCAACTTCGTCCACAATTTGAAATTGCCTTATACTTATATCTCGCTGAAATCAATAGCAACTTCACTAGTTATAGCATTTCAATTGATCCCGTTATTCAAATTAGAGCGCACATGACTTATTGAAACTTTAAATGAATACAAAAATCCAGTCGAATTCGAAATCTAGCTATATCCTTGTTCATGATTACAAATTTTTCAAAGGCTGCTTTCAGTCACTTGTTTTACTGGATGTAAAGATCTGAATGATATTTCTCGAATTGTAAAATCACAAACTTGTTTCAATCCAGCTCAACATTGTTAAGGTGAATATCCACGATTTAGAAATTCCTTTCTCCCATTCGCACGTCACCAGTCAATACTCATGTATTGTGAGTGTACCCCGTTACTATATCGCACACTACCTGTTGGAGCTTGGACGTTGACCCGTCAAGTATTGACATATTCCTATAGTTTCTCACGTCTAGCACCTACGATTGCTGCCATGTTTTACTATAGTTCGTAAAGGTCAACTGCTCAGCATTATTAGTGCAGTTTCATGAGTTATTATAAGGTAGTTATTACCTTTCGAATATCGGACACCTACATTTTTGTTGATTATAATCATAAATTTAGTTTCATTACAAACAGACCATTTTCATTCCCAAAATTCAAAAGATTCTTGTGAGAGCTGTATGCCGTAATCAGATCAAGTCAATATTGGAATCTCGATACAATTTTGTGTATTGCACATATATTTATTATCTTTTTAACATTACATTTCTTCGTAAGCATATTCGCACTGACAAGTAAATAGTTCGTATATTATGGAAGTCAGTGCTTGGGTTTAATATGTTAAAAGGTTTTTATTTGCATTTCTTAAAAAAAGAATGCAATGAACTTATATTATGAAAGTTATTCAGTTGATATTTTGTTAAAACATTATTTTCCTGGTAGTAGGGCATATAACAAACAAGCACGGATAGGTACTTAGTGCTGCATAGGACGTGTTTTAAATGTATGACAACCGCTATACAATATACTTAACATCAATGCCATTACCAATTCGATCTCATGCCTCAACTCTAGGGCTCCAGTAACCGCCATACCAGATGAACTGTTAGCTCATTCACCCATCTAAGCAAAAATTAATAGGTAAGGCTTCCAAATAACAAAATTGTATTTCATTTACTTACGCTGGTCGTTTCCATCGGAGCGAGCCATGACGGTACCGTTTGGATACACGTTGACGTACATATGGGAGCACTGGCTGTATAGGCGACTTTGCCGGAACACCGATGGCACCGCACCGCAGATCACCACCTATAAAATAAATAAGCAATATAAATAAAACATTACTACCTTCTCTCCTCCTCCTTGTACCATCTTCCTCAATCCTGAGGATCGTGACCTTTACGGAGCGTTTTTTGTTCGGACTATGTTCCTCCATTCTATACTGTTCTCTGCGCAATGGATTGCGACATTGATGTTGGACTTTTTAAAAATGGTGTAATTGAACTTACGCATGCTATAGTTAAAAATCTTTTATACATCGCACCCCAAAATATAGAACTTCAAAAATTTTATTCAAAACTGTAGCTTGCAAAGACAAACAAAACACTGAACAATGAAAAAATACATTAGAGAATAAATTTTATAGCCGTTTCGTAATATCTACCACATTACCCAATTAGTACAAAAATGTCTACCAAAGAGTCACGTTCCTAGACCATGTCGCATTTTACCTCAGCGCAATTATCATCAGGCTTGTAAACACAGAAGCATGCGGTGTTGCTGACACCGAAAGCATCAACATATTTAATTAACGTCGCAATGACCAAACGTTGCGTATAAGCATTCGTGATAAGATTATTATGAAAATTACCAAGACCTATCAAATTTTAATAACATAAGCAGACGTTCATAAATTTAGAAACGTATTGAGTTGTTTTATCCGTATAAGCACTGTTATGTAGGAAACTGGACACATTCTTATCAAGCCTCTCGAGTACCTCAGTGTGTTAAATAGCCAGAACGATAAGAACAAGTTGTAAAACACCGATTTATGCCAGGGTTAGTCATTTTTTCATGGCTAATTCTCAGATCCTTGATTGTTTTACCATGACGCAGTCTTTCTACAAAAAGAAACCAACACAGTCTAGAAAAAAACCATGAATCTTACTTACTAACAGTATCTTAAAGTGATGAAAAGTGTAGTATTGAATTTAGACTTTAATAAAAGTGAATTAAAGAAGATTAAGGTGAGTGTGGTCTTCATTACGATTCAAGTAGCTTGTTAATGCACTTTCACCGGGTTATAGTTTAAATGTCATTTCGCTATCTCCATATCTTCCTCCGTACGTATCCTTTACGAACGCTTTTGTTAATTTACTTAATAACTCCACTATATTTTGACCTTTGACAACTGACGGTCAGCCATTATAAGATTTGATATAAGCAGTACATTGTCGGCTCATTATTTTAATAGTGTACGACATTATCAATCGCAACTATTTAATCAATCAGTCGTACCGACTTTGACATCTTCCTCGTCATATTTTGAAATACAAATAATTTCATTTTATATACTATTAAGTAAAATTCTAACTCTTAATCATTTATATTTTGTAATTATTTCTGTTCTAGGTAGCATAATAAGGAAACAATCGATCGTTTTAATGGGTCAGCCGTACTCGGCTAATCCATCACGCTGAGGGTTTTATTGGATCAAAATTGAAAATTGATTCTTAATGCTCTATCAACAAAGGCTAATGTTGTTTATTAAACAGGAATTGCTTTACACCTTTTTATAACTTAAAGCTCGGTGTCATATTCAGGTGGGAAAGCATAGGCTACCGCGACGTGGTCACCGTTCAACCATATTGCATTTCACGTGAACTTTTTGTAAACAATACCGAGTTTGCTTTTAATAATGTCGAACGTTTTCTTTTGAGTTATTCGAATCGGTCATGGCGCCATCTGTGTAAACGGATACTAAAGGTCGTAAATGCAAATGAGATAATATATAATAATGGTTCATATTTTATTGAAATCAAAACATTTTAATTCTCAAATATTGGAGTTTCGAAACTGTAATTATGAATACATATTACGAATAAAATTGTACTTTTGAAATGTAATCAGAACATAATAGAGATGTGTAGAAACGAGTTTTAACTGTAACGGTATAGTTCCGAAATCGAAAATGGTAACTTATGTTAATGAAACCATAGACTTTCGATTTGACGTTTTTAATTTTAACTGCCCAAAAAGTTTACGTTAGTAATATTTATGTGTATTTGATACGTCTGTTCGTAATTTATGTCTTCTATTCGTTTTTATGCATAAATAAGCATCAAAGTTTTAAAATCCATAAATCCTATATCTCAATAATGGAATAAAACATAAAATTCCGTATAAGATTCTCACAATATTTTCAAGTTATTAAGCCGCGGATATTTCGATATTTACACGTGGTTTGTCTGGTAATCGTTATATTGATACCAAAGTTATGAATAAAGTTAACATTGATTCTGATTTTTTCTCATTAAAAAGAGCCTTTATTGAATGGAGTACAAGTCACAAAAAACAAATATTTTCACAACTGAATATGACATAATATTAAAATGACATAAATTGTATAAAGACAATGAAATAAATAAAAATGTGTAGTAGAACAATGAACCGAAAACTAAAAACTTTATAAAATATAATATAATAACTAAAATATGTTGTTAAAAGGAGACCTTTAGGCAAGATTCCGAAGATACTGGCAGCGTTCCCCCTTTTGTCAGATTTATATAGGAAGGTAGTTACTACGTGTGCAATTATCAACTATTTGAAGGTAAATTGTATATGCTTGGGCGTGTCTATGGCGAGTTGACTTGAAACGTATTATTTCCATTCGATTACATTTATGAAGCGCATCGAAATTGTCCAGTGGAAAGTGTATCGGAGACTTCACAGTACTTTAACTGCGATCAATATACAGGGATTGAATAGTATTTTGTTGAACATCTTTGTTTTTCCAGTCCATTTTTTTTTATTAAAGATTACTGGTATCCCATGTTCCTTTTCAGTTTCGCAGTATGCTAACAGCTGTCCGAGCGCCTGCGGAAGAGACCTAATAACTCAAGGACAGCTGCTTGGCAAATGGATAACTTTCAATCATTATCATCAAACAGAACAATTTACATAGAAACCGAAGTTGAAATGTTAATTCCGATCTTTAGACATGAGCTACTAGAAAATGACTTGACTGTAGTGAGTTTCGAGAACTATATATGTAAAGAAGAACCTTTATCATTTAAAACCTTTCAAACTCTTTAGTTATAAAAAAATATTTTTCTTAAACGGAATCAATCACCTGTCTGTCATTCGGTGAAAAGAAATTTCAGTTTTGTATATTAAAAAAATTATGTATAATGTTTTATATTAATTTTAATAGAGATTAAGGGCTTTAAATGTTATGTTATTATATCACAGAAAAGACGAAGTCTTTTATTGTTTATTCATTCTGAAGTATAAATACATATATATCATTCATACCTTTTTAAGCAGTGTACATACATGGAAGTCAGTATAGTAGTAGTTATTATCATTTCCTCGTGATAAAAGGGATCTATGATAGCCTAAATCCGAATGACCCAACGGTTGATTTATCAACTGTCTGTTTCGCTTGGATTAGATAAACTTAAGACTTGATAATAAAATGTTATCTTTAAAAATAGTTTTTCAATAGTTTTCTGCATCAATGTTTTTGTTGATAATACTAGTTTATATTCAATATCGCAGTTATCAGTGTTATATATAATTGAGTAATAGATATTAGATCTAATAAATGAATCCAATTTCTAAGCGAATAATCATAACTAAGTTCAAGCGACATTTCATGTTGTATTCAACTTACGCTTTCAAACCTTTTTTTATTTACCAGTAAATATGTACTGGATAATGAATAAGTTATGAACTAATTGTAATTTAATATAAAGGCTAAATGATTCAAGAACAAACAAGTTTATTTTTCATAGAGGTAAAAACTTAAACTATTCATAGCTTTTGCATGCTTATTTAAAATAAAAACAAGTATAAAAACAAACTCAGATAAAACGTCAGAAAATAAAACAAAGTTTGACGCTAACGAGGTTATGCAAAGTGCCAGCGAAAACAAAATTAACCCTGCATACATATTTAGAGGCTGGTATTATCCGAATCCGCAAAGAAGTTAATGTGCTAAACGAAAAATCGTGAAGATCCCCTCACAGATCGATTCCGTTAGTGTCGTCATGCATAAACTCGTCCATCTGGATTCTTGTCAGGGCTATAATATTTTCATGTGATGCATACATTTTATGTAAATTACTTTTCGAGTTTTTTCTACATCAATAATAACACGGATTCAGATTATTTTCTGACCCGTGACCTGTTCTATGTCATCGCCTTATTGTGAATATTACATCCATGTGTAAATATGTTGATCTAAATATGGATATTACTTGATGCAGCATAAAGAATAACGTTTAATCATAATAAATTCATGATTAGGTATTTAATAACGGTGACATATCATTCTAAAAATATCATTCTATTTGAAATATTATACAAAACGGTAATAATATGTATAATCGGCATCTATTCGTTGATTCATATGAACGATATAAAAATGTAAAAATAAAAAAATAATTTCGACGGAAGTGCGTAAAAATTATTCTTGATGTTCAGAGTGAATTTATGTTGAGAACAAAAGGCAAAGTCTAGCTTATTACAATTACCAAGAAGCGCAATTAAGTCTAGCGATTAACATAATTTATCATTATTAAATAAGTATTATACAGTTATCATATAGCGATTACATTATTTTACGGAAACAACACTTTTTTTTATTATTTTTTTTAATCAATGATGTAAAAAATGAATCTCAGATGTCATTTAAAATAAATTACTACAAGTAGCTTATGAACATGATGGATGACAACATGCGTAACACAAAAATTTCGATTTTGAAGTGTTTATTTCACTTTTAAAGTCAATGAATATACATATGTGTATTCTATTATTTTATTTTAAATATCTTTTTACTTTGATTTTCACGTATAGTAAACAAGATTAATAGAAAACATATAATAATTTGTCATCACAAAGTTTACCAGAAATTTAAAATTATTTTTGTGTCTATTTAATAAATTTGACAAATCTATCTTATCCTATTGTCAAGTCAACCGTGACCACGAAAAATGTATAACATTCGGAAAGTTTTAAGAAAATAGGGTAATACAAAAAATATTAATTCAAGAACGTCGAATCCCGAAAATTCGTCTCAAAGATAAACATTTGCAGTTTTTTTGTTTGTTTTTTCTATTTTTTTTTTCTTTTTCCCTACCTAAGCTGAGAGCCTTGAGAGGCTATTTCAGCGTAACCCTAACGTTTGTAGGTGAGCTCACGGGGCTCAAACCTGATGAGTTTTTGCAGTAATGAGTTTCTTATAGATATCACAAGTGTCAAAAATGTCAGTTCAAAGCTTAACATTCATATTTCTTTATTAAATACTAGCTGTCCCAGCAGACTTCTTAGTGCCTCAATCGATAAATAACAGACCTAAACTTTGTATAAAATAAACTTAAAACAAATAAATGAAATCCGTCCGAAAAATAACAAGCAAAATTGTTATTTTTATTTAATTCCCAGCATTTTCATATTTATCTACCTTTTAAACCTTCTCTGGACTTCCACAAATAATTCAAGACCAAAATTAGCCAAATCGGTCCAGCCGCTCTCGAGTTTTAGTGAGACTCACGAACAGCAATTCATTTTTATATATAATATATAAGTATAGATTTTCATTTTAAATTCCAACTATTTCTATCGCAAAGAAGCGGTTAGTTCCAGTATTAGACGGTTGTTGCTTAGAAACAAATGACTTGCAAGGGTGGACATAGCTCGCTAATCAAACCACGACTGCTATTATCTAGTTCTTTATCATTAATGTTTGTAATTATGAGCTGTAAACTATGCCAGTACGCGTTAATTAATTAAGATTAATAGTCGTAACTGTCTGCCATAATGGTTTCGTCTATTCTCACGCCGATTCGCATAGATATCTATACGATGTATTATGGACAGAGAAATTCAAATCTCATTTATGATAACACAATCTATCTGTATATATAAAAATGAATTGCTGTTCGTTGGTCTCGCTAAAACTCGAGAACGGCTGGACCGATTTGACTAACTTTGGTCTTGAATTATTTGTGGAAGTCCAGAGAAGGTTTAAAAGGTAGATAAATATGAAAATGCTCGGAATTAAATAAAAATTACAATTTTGTTTTTCCTTTGATGTGTCCCCCGTCGGACGGATTCTTTTTGTTTGTTTTAAGTTTATTTTATACAAAAGTTTAGGTCTTTTATTTATCGATTGAGGCATTACGAAGTCTGCCGGGTTAGCTATTTATAAAATAGATATTTGTTTTATTTTTTTAATATTTTTAACGTGCTTTAAAAATTTCAGAATACTGCTGAATGTTATAATAACCTCCCCCCCCCCATTCATTCTTCAAACATGTCCCTTTTTATGAGAGATATCTTAGAACAACGTCTAAATCCAAATTTATAATAGTGTTTTATTCGGGACCCCTTCACAACTAAATTGTAGCTATAATTAATTTATATTTAAATAATGATTAAAGTAGCCGATAAAAGCTTTTTGGAAATACGTAGGTTCGTACTATACAATATACGTATGTATACAATAGGTACGTAATATTTCACACGTATTAACTTTTGTACACAACATTTATTTGAATATTTTGAAATATTCCAATTATTTTGACCATTGGTCCATTCTAAAAATTTCGTTTGAATGTTTGAAGAATATGTATGCACTGTAATATAAAAAGTTAGTAGTTTTATTAAAATAATAATAAAAACACATAATTCCTTTTGGTTTCGATTGCCGTGCTATTTTAATTAATTTAAAAAGCACCTTAACTACGCGATGTTGCGTTGAACGTGCGCCTGCTTATCTAGCTCATTTGATCTTGGCCTACTGGGCGCTATGTTCGCATCTTAATCGAATATATTCGAATTGCCTTTAAGTTTGGGATCCTTGGTAACTATCATTAATGATATCGGAATATCGGGAACCTATTTGATATGTTTATAGTTATTTTTATTTTTATTTTTTCCTACCTATGCCGATAGCCTTGAGAGGCTATGTCAGCTTACCCTAGCGTGTGTAGGTGAGCACACGGGGCTCTAACCGGAGAGTTGCTAACAATGACCCTAGCAAGAGCAGTGCTTCGCAGAATCTACCACCGGATCGGAAACGCGACCCACTGAGAAGATCCGTCGAGAAACTCAGTGGGCTGTGTCTGTGGGTTAATTCGCTCGTCGAGCCCTTCGTCGCAAGCGACGGTTTCAACGAGGACGGTGACCGGTTTATAGTTTTATTTACGGGAATAACATACTACATATTATAGTTATTAAACAATTGTTGTGAAAACAACTTAATTGTGAATCATAAAATCTAAAAAAAGAGATTGAATTCAAGTTCAAAATTCTAATTACGCCTTTAAGTCAGTTTTGTTTAGATGTACACTCAATTGAAATCAAATTACGGCCCAATTGAAATCAAATCGGAGTTTCAATTGCGTCAATAATATCCGATTATTTTTCTTACCACCAACAAAAAACATTACAAGTGATAGTTGGTTCATTTTATTATTTATTGCTATCTATACAATATGAGAAATGTGAATGCGTTGCGAAATAAGCAGAAAGAAATACGTATGAATAAAAAACTAGACATTCTTTCGTAGCGAATAATATTTGTTACTTTTAATTTTATACTGAAACTTCCAGTAGCCGAGGTTTATCATTTGTAACAATATTTACGATCATTATCTAATGCTTTTATGTCTTTGATAACCCTACGGTCGTAATTTTTATTGTTTTTGTTTCTTTATTTCAATTAGTAAGAAAACTTCTTCATCCGATGAAATTTATTGGTCATTATAATATATCACGTGAATAAACTAACATCACTGTTAGAGAATTCAATAAATTTTATTTTTAATCAATACTAATACTACTGACGTATACTTCACTAAAAAAGTTAATTCTATTATTAAATTGTGAATAAGAAACACAAAATAAACAAATCCTTAGCTATTCTCCGGTACTTCAAAACTATAAAAAGGGAAGATGCTGCAATTCTTCTAAAAATGTTTTAGGGCGACCCTTACAAGATAAATTGACAAAATTTCTGAGAGTATAAAGTAAATTAGACAGGGAGATATACTGGCCCACAGTCTACTTAAGTATACTGGCACATATGGATATCTGGACACCATCAAAACTACAAAGAACCAATACGTCATGTTCACCTTCGTTGGTAACGCTTACAATATAAATTAATAATGGTAAAATTAAAATTGATGCAAGAATGACCATACTTACCATCAGGAGGCACAATATCTTCGCAGAGACGGCAAGCTGTGGTAACCTGCAAACAAATGATCACTGTTAACAATACATTCAGATTTTCTTCTTATATCTATATATATAAAAATGAAACCCGTTTTCCGTTGTCACGACATAACATGAAAACGGCTTGACCGATTTGGCTAATTTTGGTCTTGAATTATTTGTTGAAGTCCAGAGAAGGTTTAAAAGGTTAGATAAATATAAAAATATTCGGAATTAAATAAAAATAACAATTTTGTTTTTCCTTTGATGTGTCCCCCGTCGGACGGATTCCTTTTGTTTGTTTTAAGTTTATCTCAAACAAAAGTTTAGGTCCTTTATTTATCGATTGAGGCACTACGAAGTCTGCCGGGTCAGCTAGTCCCGTATAATTATCATGTAAGTGTGTTTATTACCAAGACTTTTCAAATTACTAGAACGATTTTGATGACATACCTAGAATTCGATCGCTGCAATAGTATTCTAGGATTTAACTTTAGAAGTGAAACTTCTTTAAGCGCATTGAGAGTAAAATTTAACTCGCAACAGATTCGTTACGGCTAGAGAGAAAATATACAATTTAGGAAGAGCAAGACTGAGAAAATAGAGAGAGAGTCTCGCGTATCACTCTACCGCGGAGAGACGGAAAGGACAAAGCGAGCTAGGTCGTTTTTCTTATATGTAGCAATCCCTCTTAAAAGAAAAATTTGATTTAAGGATGAAAAATTAACATAACCACAATATTACACATCCCAAAAGAAGTTTCACTTCTTTCGCGTGCACCAAGTTGCACGAGCACCATTTTTATTTTCAAGACAACCTTAGCCGGGCTAAGTAATATAACGGTAGAATGACAAGTTATAACACTATTGATTGATAAACAAAATCATGAATATGAATTTCAGTACATATTTAAGAGAGAAAGATGGCGAGATGTCGTGAGACGCATCAAGTCTGTCCCCGCCAACACTACGTGACGATCGCGACCAGAGTGATAAAGTGTGAAACGATTGAGAAGAATAATATACATTAAAATATAAAACAAAAACATCTGAAGTCACATCAATTGAAATATATTTACATAAAACGCACAAACAAAAGATTTCAGGTTATTATTTTTTAATTTTCACTTTGAAAAAAAAAAAAAAGATTTGAAAACATTTGTAATGGTAAATCTATAACCGGTAACACGAGAAAGAATATTAGGCGGCTCTCGGGCAGACGAACTTGAAAATGGAAAGCATAAACACACAGAGTACGTTTGTTTTGTACTAAAACATATATGATTGCCGGTGCTAACATTGTGGATATGTAATAAGCATTGTAAACTGAAGTAGAAGGCTTTGCGCCACACATGCACTGAATACGTGAATTAATAATAATAATATTACCATAATTTATGTACGTTACATTAGACTTGTTTACTAGAGCTTATTGTAGTTAGTGCAGTTGTATTTTTGTAATGTTTTATGTTACATCGGTTACATTGACGTCCGATTCAAATTTTGACTTCGCTAATTGTTTTTTAATGCCTAGGTTGGTGAACGAACTCACGGCGCTGGTGTTAAGGGTTACCGGAGCCCATAGGCACCAACAAATTATATGCCGCCATCTTTTTTTGCGCTATTTCCGAAATCAATAAGTATTATACTAAATTAATAAACAAGAATCCGAAAATAGGTTCATTGCTGTGATACACGCGCATCGCTTTAAAAAGTTCATAATTCGATAATTTTATACCACAGGTACGCACGCCTCCGCGTCGCAAAAGACCGTTGACCTAGACAAAAGCTGAATTTCATTTGTTTTATGTACATTGCTTCCATGTAAAGAGTACTATGAAAATACATTTTTATAGGGTTAACGTGGAACATATTCATAATAAATCAATGAAATAAGTACGTTTAGTTACAGAAGATATATTTTTATTTTATCCTCGTGATCACTGGTTTTAGGACCTCTTGAGAGTCCGCACGGGTAGGTACCACCACCCCGCCTATTTCCGCCGTGAAGCAGTAATGCGTTTCGGTTCGAAGGTTGGGGTAGCCGTTGTAACTATACTGAGACCTTAGAACTTGTATCTCGAGGTGGGTGGCGCATTTACGTTGTAGATGTCTATGGGCTCCAGTAACCACTTAACACCAGGTGGGCTGTGAGCTCGTCCAACCATCTAAGCAATTAAAAAAAAAAAAAAGATCTTATGGCCTTTATGGATTCAAAGACCACGACAGTACGTATGCAGATTTTCATCTTCTCATCAACAATCGTGGCTTTTTCTGGGTTTTGAATCATGTCGCATGATTGTGTGTATTATTCACCAACTCTATTGACGGCGACTTCCATATAAATTTTAATCATCCTTAAGTAATCGACGTAACGCCCGTGCACATTGGCTCAAGTCAGTTAAGGCACGTTCGGTTTACGTTGTTTCGCATTCTTGTATACATACGCAAGCATATTATCTGTACCACAGTAAGGCCGATGACAAACTTAGCACATGGCTGTCTGGCGACTAATCATTTGCTACAAATCATTTGAAATTATTAGAGGGAAAAAAAGAAAAAAAGATGTGTGGTGTCGTGGAACACCGGATGGGAACGAAGTTCCTTATTATAAAAATATTAATTTTAAGTTCTATTCGAGGTATAAAGAAAATAATTATTCGGGTATACATTTTTTATTATGTGTTTTTTCATTGATAAAAATAAATTACTTTACAAAGCTATCAACTGTATTTTATTTACAATGATTTATAAAAAATGTATAATAAAAAATTATGTTATTTTTTGTACGTCGTTAACAAGTTAAGTCGTACACTGTGTGCATTACTAATAAAAATCTTACGTTACGGACGTTTTTTCCCGGTTAGGGTACCCCTCCGCATCGTCCCATAAGGAACTTCGTTACAAAAATCGTACCTAAAATTAGATTAGTTTTCCCATTCACGGTACCTTTACATTACGTGCATTCTCGAGCTCCCACCTCATTCTGAATACTGCATATTTTAATTACTTCTCAATTTAAAACAAATAACGCAATGGTGTTTCTGTTTTTAAAACAAACAAATATTTTTGCCCTTCTCTATTTAATGTTAGTGATATAGCATGTTCTCTTGAGACCATGCCGTCATACAATCATTGAAAAATCAGGATTAATGAGAGGCTAAGTTTCTAAATAAAGTAAGGACGTACAGAAAAATGACGTAGCTGCAATAGCTCAAGAAATTGTCGCAAAGGCTGTTTTTACCATATCGAAAACAATTTTAAAGGTTAGCAATCGGTAATTAGTTCGAATTTATAAGTTTTGTAAGAATAAAATTACCAGTTCAATGTAAATAGTTTAATGTCTACACTATACACGTGTCGGGGAGAAAAACAATTTTAAATCGTTTAATGCCACAAGTAAACATCGTAAAATGAAGACTCGGTTGTAAACTAGACATAAAAATTAAAGTACAACGCTAGTTAACAAGTGACAATAGACATTCAAATCGGATTTTATATTATCAACACACAACGATGTATTCAATCTTACTCGTATGAAAATTCGTAAAACAAAAATGGCCAAAAATTATTTGCATCAAAAATCTATCCCTTGTTACTAAATTTCAATATTAGTCCTTTGCTTTTTTTCTGAAAGTCGGCTATGTGTACGTAACGTGAGATATTTCCACAATTCCGTAAGGTTGTCACGCTGTAAGTATTAATTATAATTTAATTTGAAGTCGTCGTGGCCTAAAGGATAAGACGTCCGGTGCATTCGTGTTGAGCGATGCACCGGTGTTCGAATCTTAGGCGGGTACCAATTTTTCTAATGAAATACGTACTGAACAAATTTTCACGATTGACTTCCACGGTGAAGGAATAACATCGTGTAATAAAAATCAAACCCGCAAAATTATAATTTGCGTAATTACTGGTTGTAGGACCCCTTATGAGTCCGCGCGGGTAGGTACCACCACCAGGTAGACTTTAGGACTTATATCTCAAGGTGGGTGGCGCATTTATGTTGTAAAAGTCTATAGGCTCCAGTAACTACTTAACACTAGTTGGGCTGTGAGCTCGTCCACCCATCTAAGCAATAAAAAAAGCTTTTAAGTAGTTAAATTCCGTTAAATTCGATGACGGGTGCACGTACCCTATCTGCGCGGACTACAATTACGGCAGAATCAGTTTGTTGAGTAAAATTAGATAACTGATGATTACCTATGAAAGATATATAGCTCTGCTTATTCTATCTACGCCCGTTTCAACTACGAAACGTTACTCTTACAAAATGATAAAGAATTTCTTTTCTAACAGCAGAACTGAGTAGATATTTCGATATAATAATTCAAATTTGTTCAAGATCATAACAGTAGAAAATAAGAGATCGATACTGCTAAATCCGTAGAAGCGTACGCCCGATCCCACATGTCTACGGATTGTAGTTACAATACTAATTGTAATGTTTCGAATCTATAGGCTTGGACATCGATTGTCTTAAAAGTTGTCCCACTTGTCACATTAAATATACACCCAGACGTCTGGCGCCAAAACGTAACTAAAATAAATCATAAAATGTAATATGATAGGACTACAGGCAGAGTTAATGTTATTGAAATTGTAAAAATGTGACAAAACCACTAATTATTACATAAATTTTGAAATATATAGATATCATTATGGATTTATTAGTCCATAACTCACTTTTGAGAGAACGTGTTATTGAAATTTCATGCAAATCAGGTCCTAAAATTAAATGTGTGCATATAAAGATATTAATCATTAAAGATTAATTAAATTAAAGAAACAAAGAAATTCGCCGAGTTTTATTTGAAAAATGTATGACATTTTTTATCACCACTATCAAAGTGGACAGGTAAAATTATATTCTTATTTTACGTCAATTACGAAATTTAAATGTATTCTTTGTTAAGGTTTAAGAAAAACTATAACCTTTAGATAATGTTTCTTTATAATAAGATAGTAAGCGAGAGTTGTGTCAATTTGTTATACATATACTATAATGAAATTATGACATAACGTAAAAATGACGCTC